AAATTTTCCAAGCAAAATTCAAATATTTGCCTTATTTTCAGGCCTCTGTGCTAAGTAGATTGATGATGCAAAAGCTCGAGGAAAACTATTTTACATATTAAGGAGGAAAATTTGTACAGGGTGTCTTTCAACAGGAATTAGTGAAGTTACTTCACCAACATAATGTGACAAGTTATCCAAATATAAATGAGTGAATTGTTGCGGAACTTATGGTTGGACCTCTGCGGGACGAGCGCAGCGAGTTCCGCAGCCATCTATTCATAAGTTCCGCAACAATTCACTCATTTGTACTTGAATAACTTGTCACATTATGTTACTAGTTTGGTACTTGACCCAATAGAATGTGTAACGGATCTTGTTTAAGGTTTTGTTGACTCCCAAATGAAATCCGGATGTCACATTATGAACTTCTGAGACTCGAACAACTTTCGTCCTAGGTATGACTAATAGTGTTTTGATGATTTTATCATCTGCACGTTGCAGTAAACTATTCTCGACTAGCAAGGAGTGTCATTGAGCCGTAAAAGTGTAAATTAGTGGATATTTCTTGCTAGGTTGATCTGGATTTTCCTGATTCCTTTAAATTTAAAAATAACATGATGTCACTATGCTGTAATTGTAAGCTGTCCGGAACTCCATTCTTGATCCATTTCAGGTCTTTTAATAGGAAATCCTTCATGTTGGTTTATCCTGAGACAGTGCTTGGATATAATCGCCTGAATAAGGCATCTGCGTTATTTTATTATACAGTTTACCAGAACGGTGACAGATTTGAAAATTGTACTGTTGTAACTTCTCCAACCATCTATTCTTGCTCCCTGTCCTCCTGGTTGCTCCATGTTTAGGAGCTATTTAAGCGATGCATCGTCTGTTCTAATCAGAAATTCTTTTCTATACAGGTACTTGTGGAGATAGTCAATCCTTCTGACTACAGTACTTGAGTAGATATGAAAGAAGTATTTTCTCATGATCGCATGGAGCAGCCTAGTTTTACGTTCAATATTTTTTCCCATTCAGACAATAAAGCCGCTTATAATGAGCAGATTAGTAAAAGAGAGTCATTCAGAAAGAGTCAGTTATAGAGTCAGAGAGTAAGATTTAGTCAGAAAGAGTCCATCAGAGAGGGAGAGAGTCAGAGATACAGCTAGTCAGAGAAAAAATCTCAGGGAGAGTCAGTCCAAAAGTGTACGTGTCAGAAGGGAGTCAATCACATCATCAACATTTATCTAAAGTCAAAATTTAGTCATATAAATTATCAGCTATTGAACTAATTGATTGGCGGGAGAGGAATATTTGAGTGTCGCAAATTCATCAGTACCAGATGCTATTAGGAAGTACCAATGTTACACTTGCAATGCTATATTTAAAACCAAATCAAATTTGAATCATCATTTAATAACACATTCGGATATTCGACTTTTTGAATGTGACACTTGCAAAGTAAAGTTTGAACAAAAATGCAATTTAAAGGATCACATAGTAACACTCTCGGATATTCATTCTTTTGAATGTAAAACTTGCAAAGCAAAGTTTAAGCGGAGAAGCACTTTAAAGGATCACATTTTAACACACTCGAATATTTATCCCTTCGCATGTAATACTTGCAAAACAAAATTTAAACGAAAAAGCGCTTCGAAGAATCACAAATTAATACACTCGGATATTTATTCTTTCGAGTGTGACACTTGCAAAGCTAAATTTAAACAACGAGCCAATTTATAGAGACACATATTACAACACTCGGATAACAAGATTTTCCATGCAACATATGCGAAGCTAAATTTAAAACCAAGGGATTTCTAAAAAGCCATTTATTGACACATTTGGATATTTATCTGTTTCAATGTGACATTTGCAAAGCAAAATTTAAAGGAAAAAGTGGCTTGAAGATTCACAGTTTAACAGACTCGGATATTTATCTTTTCACATGTGACACTTGCAAAGCAAAATTTAAACGGAAATGCGAATTAAATAATCACAAATTAACACACTCGGATATTCATTATTTTGAATGTAACACTTGCAAAATAAAGTTTAAACGAAGAGGCAATTTAAAAAATCACATTTTAACACACTTGGATATTTATCCTTTTGCATGTAATACTTGCAAGGCAAAATTTGAACAAAATGGCGATTTGAAAAAACACAAATTAATATACTGCCTATGTACAGTCTCGTGTTAGATACGGTGTCATATTCTGGGGAAATAAGGTGCTTGCATGAAAAATTAAATTGATTATTGTTTATTGCAGACTCTAGTCTAGTCTCATTTGTAACTTGACTAACTTGTCACAATATATTACTAGTTTAGTAAAGTAACATTACTGATTCCTGTTAAAAGGCAAATTGACAAAAATTGGATAATCTTACAAATTTTGACTTTATACATATAATAAGTTATTTTTCAAGTACAAATAATTGGATTGTTGCGAAACTTATGAGTGGACCTCTGCGGACGAGCGCCTCACCTGAAACCTGTGGTTTTTGAACTAATGAGAAAAATTCACAACTGAGTGAGTCAGGTTAGTATCGTACTTGAACAATATATTAATGGATAGATGACTGTGGAACTCGCTGCGCTCGTTCCGCAGAGGTCGACTCATAAGTTCCGCAACAATTCACTCATTTATATTTGGATAACTTGTTACATTATGTTACTAGTTTGGTGAAGTAACATCACTAATTCCTGTTGAAAGACAAATTAACAAAAAATCAATAATCTTACAAATTTTGACTTTATATAATTAGTTATTGTTCAAGTACAAATAAGTGGATTATTTCGGAACTTATGGGTGGACCTCTGCGGGACGAGCACAGCGAGTTCCGCAGCCATCTACTCACCAATATACTGTTGAACTATTCAAATAAGACATTCTCCTGAATCGTGTAGTTTTTAAACTAATGAGAATAACTCACATTTGAGTGAGTCAGGTTAGTTTCGTAAGTTATTCAATTACAAATGGGTGAATTGTTGCGGAACTTATGGATAGACCTCTGCGGGACGAGCGCAGCGAGTTCCGCAGCCATTTATTCATCAATAATATGTTGTTTAATTACCATACTAACCTGACTCACTCAAATGTGATTATTCTCATTAGTCTAAAAACTACACGTTTCAGATGAATGTCTTATTTGAATAGTTCAACAGTATATTGGTGAGTAGATGGCTGCGGAACTCGCTGCGCTCGTCCCGCAGAGGTCCACCCATAAGTTCCGCAATAATCCACTATTTGTACAGGGTGTTTTTTTATATATTGACATCCCACCTATATCCTGTTCACAATCCGATGTCCACAGGTGCAGGTAAATTTATCACCTTTCCGATCTATCACAGAGCATTGAAAGGTGATTTTACCTGTACCTAACTGTAGAAATCGGATTGTGAACGGATAATATAGCCTTTACCTTTACAGGTAGAAAGGTAAATACAAAAGTTGTACAGTTTTGGTTGAATTTTTAGAAATCATGGTTTGAATGTCAGAAATGTGAAATTTTACATACTTCCAGCTTTTTTCAAATGGGATGCCCTATTATTTCATTCTATATTTTTGAAGAGCACAATGCCCCGATTTATATTCGAATGAGCAATCTCTCATATATTTGGCTCCAAAAATTGTAAAAATACTATCCTACTACTGATTTTGTGAACCATTCTACCTCTACAGGTGAAAGCTGCAGGTAAAATTTGAGGTAGGTACTTGGTTTCTCTGATAGTTTTTTTAAAATTTTTAGAACCAAATATGTTGGAGTTGGCTCAATCAAATATAGACAAACTATAGAGTTTTGGAATCGGGAAAATCTGCTCTTCAAAAACATAGGGCATCGCATTTGAAAAAAGCTGAAAGCATGCAATATTTCACATTTCTGACATTCAATTTTTGTTTCTCACCATAGATTCTAAACATTTTAGCCAATACTGTACAACTTTTTTATTTAGACCTTTTATCTTCCTGTAAAGGTAAAGGCTGTAGGTGGGGTGTCAATATACAGGGTGTCCCACAACGTTTTTCCCAGGTAATAACTTTGAAACGTGTCATCCAATATATGTAATTGAAATTTTGAGGATCTATGTAGCTTTTTGTGCCACTTCTACCATTGCCATCCAATTTCATCACTTTCGCTTCAATTTCGGTCAAGTGACGTCAACTTCCGAATCTTGAATATAACTCATGGTATATTATGGCATTTTTTGTTAGAAAATTAAATTACAAAATCGGCAATGCCATATTTGTTAAAGCTTTGTTGAATAAAATGTTAAATAATTATACAGTGGAACATACGATGATGCGTTCCGAAGTTATCGTTTGGGAAAAACCTCGTGGGACACCCTGTATAAAAAAACATCCTGTACTTAATCATTATTGATTGGGAATAATCTATGTTTCTTTGACTAGTGACCGTAACACGGAATTTTATTTACGAATAAATATTTAATTTTCTATCGGTAAATAAGACTTCGAAAGGGAAGGCTGCATTTGATTTATCAAAGGGATTGAATATTGAAACATTGAAAATTTGACTTTGATCGATGGCAAATGCTTTCCTGGTAGATAATTTTTCCAATTTAAATGCCAAATAAACTTTTCATTATTCATCACACACGGAATTTTTTCTCGATTTTAAGTTGTTGAAAATGCCTTCCTTCTCAAATACACAATTTATTATAAAATGATTACTTTTTATTGAGGTTACAAAACGAGTATTATGTTGTGCATATAAAACTTCAAATTGCATTACAATTGCAGTTCAGGCCCTTCAGGAAGCAATCTGCTTGAATCAAAAAAGTTTTAAAATAATTCCAGTTCGTGGTTCACATTACGAGAAAACCAATTTCAAGTTTTAAATAAATTTCCGCCTTTTTTATTTACTTTACTATATTTTAAATGAATTGCACTCGTAACTGTATTTATTTCTAAAAAAAATATTAAACCCGGCCGGAGATAAAAATTTCTAAAGCGGACGTTTTTCCACTAACCGAAATTTCATTTAATTTGTTTCAGATGATAAAAATGATGATAACAGTCGTCCTGGTATTCACGATGTGCTGGTTACCTTACAATCTTTTTATGGTAAGTTCAAAATAACAATAAATATTTCCACGAAGTGCTTTTCGAAAACTAATTTCACAGCGTTTGCCCTCGTTGGGAATTTCCCATCGTATATTATAATATAAATTATGACGGTTAAATTTTCATGAAAGGGTAGCTATTCTATGAATACTTGTGATATTTTCAATAGAATTTTACGCCGTAATTAAACTAGAATGTACCTGTTATTTATATGTTAAATTTAGATTTTAAAAAGATGAGTAATTACCTGTTTGTTTATTTTTGTATAATTTCCCTTTTAATACAACAATACCTTATACAACATTTTTTGCTACAATAAACTGAAATGTATTTTATTTCAAAAATTTTCCTATTATCAGATGGGACACTCAAGTGAAATAATAAAATAAATCGGGTTTGACAACTGAACAATAGACCAGACACCTGATTTAAATAAAAATACGATTTGAATACGACCAGGGCGGACATTTTCGACCTTTTATTCTATCAATTATCCTGCCTTTTCGATACATATATCATACCCTAACTTTTTATTACGGTTTCTAGTAGCTTTTATGCTTTTTTATTATTTTTATCCGCATTGCACTTTAGATAATTGTGTGTTTGTCCTTATTCGTGTTCGCACATCAGGACTACTTGCGAATAAATTGTATAATTTTGTAAAAAATGTTTAGCAAAAGATAAATTTCCCCAAATTACTTAACGCGATTTCATTTCTGAAGCTATAAGTTCAAATGAGCTTAGGGATAGGAGTAGTCCGTGCCTCGGATAAAAATCGCTGAAAATTTCAGGTTTCTATCTATAATGGAAAAAAAGTTATGAGTTTTCAAAGTTTTCCAAAATGTAAATCATATAAGGTAACTACCTTCTTACTAAAATTTCAATTTTTTTTTTTGCTGAGATTTAGTGTCCTAATGGTCCCTTGGGACCCCTTCAACTCCATTCACTAAATTATTCTCAGATTTGAGGCCAAAATCTTTGAAAAAAGGCACAGAAAAATTGAAAAATCACCCCAAATGGCTTAACCAGTCCAAATGAGCTGAAATTGTCGGGGATTGTAATCCTCTACTGGAATAAAAATCGCTGGAAATTTCAGTTTTCTATCTATAATAGAAAAAAAGTTATGGGTCTTCAAAGTTTTTGAAAATCCAAATCAAAAAGTAGCTATCTTAATACTGAAATGATGACATTTTAAATTTTTTTGTGTTGAGATCTTGTGTTCAAATGATCATTGGAGACCTCTCAAACTCCATTCCCTAATTTATTCTGAGCTTTGAAGCCCAAATCTATGAAAAATGGCACTCAGAAAATTGAAAAATCGATAAATCCACCCCAAATTGCTTAACGCGATTTTATTTCTGGAACTATAAATCCAAAGGAGCTGAAACTCTCAGACATTATAGTCCTCTACTAGGACAAGAATCGCTAAAAATTTCAGCTTTCTATCTATAATAGAAAAAAAGTTATAGGGTCTTCAAAGTTGAGAGTGAGGTTATGTTAATGTAAACATTGCAAAAATGAGCTCTACAGAAAAATCTTGTTTTTACTGTAAAAAAAGGTGGTAGATGCTGTAACTTGCAGCATCTGCAAGTGAAACCACTACCATCATAACTGATGTGCTAAGGAATCAGGTGCAATAAAGGGAACTACAGTAAAATGTGGACTATGTGTAAGCGATGAGATTAGAACATTGAAAACTGAATCTTCTTCAATTAAATCAAATGAAAGTTCTGAACTTAAAATGACACTGCAAATACTTGGAGAGTCTAGGACTTTCTGGGCAGCAAATTTGATTCTTTCACATTGGAAAACCAAAATGCACTAAAAGAACTACGGGAGATGAAGATAGAAAATAACCAGCTAAGAGCAAAACTTAGAGATCAAGAGAAATAATGAAAGAATTCTTTTGTAATCTGGAGATTCATGGAATGCAAATTGAAAATGTGTATCCTAAAAAAGTTCTATACTTAATGGAAATTGCTAATGATCTTCTGTCGTGTGACTTCAGTGGCCAGGAGGTGTAGAACTTTAAGTTGAAGTCAGTATGTTGAGTAACAATAAGAATAAAAATGTAATTTCAAATATTTACATCAATGAGCAGCTAACCTTTTCAAATAAAAATCTATTTAATTTGGCATATAAACACAAAAAGGAAAAAAATATTTATAAATACTGTTGGACTAAAAATGGTAGCATGTACATCAGGAAATCAGATGATTCAGATCCAATTAATATTCAAAATGAAGTAAAAAATCTTTAAAATTAATGAAAAATGAATATTGGTAAATGCTACTAAGATAGATGACCAATGTAAATTAGATAGAGTACAATGTAATAATAAAAGTGATCTTCATATTCTTTACATAAATGCTCAATCGTTAAGAAATAACCTCTTGGAATTTGAAATATTGGTGAATAAGTTGAATACACCAGATCTGATTGTAGTGACTGAACCTTGGGTGAGAACAGGTGAAGAACCTTATTTTAATGTGAATGGGTACAACTCTGTGTATGTGTGCAGAGATAAGGGAGGAGGTGGTGTCGGAATGTTTATAAAAGAATGTTTCAATTTCTCAGAGGTCTAAATACAAAGTGCTCAATGTTGTTTCTACAATAATAGTGGATGGGATATACCATCCTCAAGACTTGGAACCAGTAGACGCAGCATTAAACTTGTTTGTGACCAAAAAAAAAAAAAAAAAATTCTGGGTACTGGGCGACTTCAATATAGACTTGATACAAGAAACTTTATCACAAAAATTATTATGTCAGACAATAAATAACCTCTATAATGGCTTCAATAATATTGTGCCTACCAGAATCTCTGATCACTCAGCCAGTTGTATTGATTATATCTTTACAAATAATCTAAATTATTATGCAAATTTGTATATGTATAGTGAATGAGGGTTTAGGGGATCATCAAATGCAGTTGTTAAAATTGGAATTTACCTCGTGCAAGTCGATTGACAAATATTAAGCTGTGACAACTTTAAATGAAACACAATTTAAAAATCAAGTAGGATTTTTGCAGAATCAAGACTGAACTGATCCTAATTGTTTGTGTGATGAGATTCTGAAGATATACTTGAACAATCATAGTACAAAAACTGTAATGGAAGCACAGGGTAACAGCAAAAAAAAATATGGTCAACGCTAAACCACCTTATCCATAATACACCGCATATTAAAAAATCAGTAACAACTCATGAGTTTCAACATCAAAATACATTTGTACAATAAAACTGTTGATATATCTAATCAGTTGAACCAATACTTTTTTCATGTAGGAAAAACTCTATCAAAAAGCATACAACCACCATCATGTAAATATACAGCTAAAGAAATACGAATGGCAACAAGTTAAAGATATCATTATTAAATTAAAGAAAGGAAAAGCTTCAGGCAGTGATGGCTTCAGCATTGATGACATTAGGGAATTTAAAGTACAGTTAATAAGTAGGTACCTATTGTAACCTATCTTTTATTATTACTGGATCAATCCCAAACTCGATGAAAATGGCAAAAGTTGTACCACTGTATAAAGGAGGTGACTCAAAACAACCTGGAAGCTATCAAGTTATGTCAAAAATTTTGGAAGCCTGTGTCAATCACCAAATTGTACAGTGGGAATCATTCATATTCTTTTAAAATCCCTCGTATTAAGTCAAAATTCTAACCAATAAATATATTCACTGCAGTGGTGTACGTGATATTTTGACCCCTGTTAACCCATTTTCTCTCTAAATTCATGATCGAGCTACTGCCAGAACCTAGGGCTAAGGCATCTGACAGAATTCTCTTATCTTGTGTATCATTTCAATTGACTCTGGCCTTTTGGTCATTAATATTAAGCATATGGTAAACCATTTTAGCGAACAAATATATTTTTCCTTTAGCGGTTCAATAAAAATGTCATGTTCACCACTGATTTAACCATCTTACACAATTTTGACATTCCTATGTGTCAAAGAAGTGAATTTTTCACACATTATGGGGGATGTTTATGAAGTGTGTGCCAATTGCAATGATTCTCACTGTACAATTTTTTGATTCATCAGATTTCTGGTCTAACAGACAAGGTGGTTTTAGACGTAATTCGAGTACAGTATCAGCTGCTACTGACATGATTACAGATATACATAGCAAAATTAACAAAGGATTAAGTTGGGTACTTGTATCAATGGACTTGCAGAAAACCTTTGATACAGTCGACCATAACAACTTATAACAGTATAACTGGAATGGAGTTAGTATGGTTGAAAGACTACCTGAGTGGATGAACTCAAAAAGTACTATGCAACAATGTGCTAAGTACTACAACAGAAGATATAACATAACCCAAGGGTCTTTATTGTGACCCACCATGTTTCTTGTTTATATGAACTCCATTTCCAGTTTACCTTCAAGATCGATACTATACCTATATGCTGATGACACAGGATTGCTGTATGCAGGAAAAGATTCCAAAACACTACAACACATTACTTATAGAAAAAGATAGACGGAATGGCTTAAATATCACAAACTTTCACTGAACATGAATAAATGCAGTTATTACATGATAATTTAAAATATAGATGTAAACAGTCAATCTTATATTAATTTATTCAATTAAGTACTATGCTTATTATCTTCTTGCCCGATCTTGCACTCCCCTATGCTAAATTCAAGTTCAACTTATAATTGACTGTATATTCGTTCATGGTGTTAAAAGCATTTGATACTAGGTTCAGTCGATGCTCAATTTAAAAATGTTGTTCTGGAATTGCGAGATCGCGTAGAATCTTTCTGCCCAGTGAGCGTATAATATGAAACAATGAAAATAGCATTATAGTTATGTATGTACAGTGGGAATCATTGCAATTGGCACACACTATATAAATATATTAAATATCCCTCGTAATGTGTCAAAATCTGACAAACAGTAATAGCAAAATGCTGCACTAAATAGATTTATTGGTTAGAATTTTGACTTAATACAAAGGATTTTAAAGAGTGTGTGCCAATTGCAATGATTCCGACTGTACCAAGGGAGCAATGAGTGTATTCCCAATCCAAGGATTGTACATATTGAGAACAACATATCCTATTAACTACATGTTACAAAATTGCTCCAGCTGTGGGCATGCGTAAAATGGTGTACTACTTCCTGATAAACTCACATCTGTCATACTTAACCATTATATGGGACAACACAAATCAAAAGCACCTTCATCCTCTTATAGTGTTACAGAATAGAGCTGTTAAATATATGTACCAGTTGATCGGAAACTCTTTATGGTCCAAGAGGAATACTTAACATTAAATCTATGTACATTGTCCAAGTATGTACATTTATTCACAAATATGAGCTATCTCAAACACATACAAATATAACTCTAAATCGGACGGGAGATGTTCATGATTATCATACCAAACAAGCAAGGTATTTTCCGAACAGAAAAAATGCAAACATACAGGTACACAAACATATTCAGTAATACTAGGCTACATTACCTCACTTTTGTAAGAATAGTATCAAATTTTGTTATTGTAAAACCAACATAGCCACGGCTCTTGATTCACACAACAATATTATATAGTTCATAGTTGGGCTAAAGGACCCCGCACACTTCTTATGGGATTTCTGACCGCGGTCAAATTTGACCAAATTTTAATATATTATAGATCTCACCTTTCTGATCAATAGCTACCATAGGCACAACTTAATCCTATGACTAGTTTTTGAGATACAGGTAGTTAAATGTCCAAGAAATGGATACATTTTATATGCATTTACATCTACCTGTCACCTAAGCGTGAGGATACCTGTCCATCCTGGTATTATTAGGTGGCAGGTAGATGTAAATGCATATAAAATGTGTGCATTTCTTGGACATTGAGCTACCTGTATCTCAAAAACTAGTCATAGGATTAAGTTGTGCCCATGGTAGCTATTGATCAGAAAGGTGAGATCTATAACATACTAAAATTTGGTTAAATTTGACCGCGGTCAGAAATCCCATAAGAAGTGTGCGGGGTCCTTTTTAAAAAACAACTAGTTACGTCATTTCGTGAGACCTATAGACCATAAGTGCCCTGAAACCGGACCGGATATTTAGTTAGGGCCTTAACGTTTAAAATGCATTAAAATTAACATAATTTTTTTTATGAAATAAACAATTTGACTATTATTAGGTACATCAAATACGTTGTTTTCAATTTTTTTTTAACGGATGTCCATTCGAATCCTATATATTCATGTTTAAAATTAGCATGACACAAAATGGCGGCGTCTTCCATATGAATATATGTATAGGATTTTAACCCTAGAATACTATCATACGTAAAAATTACATATCTTTTTCAAAAATCCATTGCAGCAACCTCACCCTGTTGAATCCTCACTTCATCTGCTAGCAGTGCTTTCCTTGAAATATAATAAAGACGTCCTGCACAGATTAGTAATTGTATTAATCTGGATTGTTAGATTGCTAACAAGTGTAAGTGTTCGAATCGGCTCATATTCAAAATTGCTGCACGTCAATTTTACTTGTCGATTAAAAAATGCCCGAGAAAATACTGTCACAAATGTCCTACACTACAACCAAGATTACTAAGAAGAGAATAACTACAACATACTGTACAAAATCCAAAAAAACAATACCTATGTGGCGATCATCAAATTAAAATATGTCCTAGTTCTTGAAAAACACTGTGACTACTATTTTTTTTCCATTTTTTCAAAGTTAGTTTTTATTATTTCTGTACGTTTTATAGTACTTCTTCAGTTTCCTATGAAAAACATTATAGTTAATAAATACTACTTTGATATATCATTCGTTTTCTCATTATCGTCGATAGTATAAAGCGATATTCCAATAACGATAGTATTCTAAGGTTAAGAACCAATCAAAAATGAGACAATTGTCGCCACTGGGGTAATAGAATCACTGTAACATGAGCTCATCTCTTTCTCTGAGGCTGGCTAAGAAAAAGATAGAAATACATATTTTTTTGCCTGCTCGCCTATTTTTAACATATAAAACACTATAGCTCTGTTCCAACAAACATGAAAACCATTCTAGAACGGTAATTTCCAGTCGATTAATTTATTTGTCAATTAGTGTAAACGTTCAACTTATCAAAAAATAGATGGGCAACTGGAAATTACCGGTTCAGAAATGCTGCTCATGTCTGTTGGAACCGAGCTTATAAAAACACAAAAGGCCTAGTTTCATAATAATCGAATTTCTTGTACTCACCCCTCAAAAACTGTGGCCCCCACTCGGAAATTCAATTTTCTGGGCAAAATAAATACAGAATTGGAACCGCGACACTTTTCCGAACACTTTAGAGTACTTTTTCCGATTGAAAAGTCTCGGAAAACTGGAAAATTCAACGAAAAGCCGAGAGAAAAACACTTAAAATGACCGACTGTTAAATGTCATTGTCACAGGCCATTCTAAGACCTACTTGATTGGAACCCGAGTTAAGTTGGCTACAAAGCAGTGTTGCTACCTAAAAAAGAATCGTTATTTATTGAAAATGTTTAATTAATAATGATTTTAAAACTAGAAATTCCCTAAAAAAGGCCTGAAAAACTTGCTTTTTAATGATTTTTGCTTGCGCCCTTAATTTTAGCATTTAAAACTGGAAACTTTTGGCAAAAAATAAAGAAAACTCAAAGTCTCGTACTTCATATCAGTTTTCCAGCGCGAAAACGGCCTGGGAAAGCGGAAAATCCAAAAAAAAACCAGCAAAAATAACATTCCAAAGCCTACTTGATATAACTTGAGTTTTCGTTACTTACCCCCTTAAAAAACTGGTAATTTTTGGCGGAAAATGAAGCCTCGTATTTTAAACCAGTTTTCCCGACTGAAAACGGCCTGGTAAACACGTCAATTAAAAAATGACCGACTGTCAAACAAAAGAAAAGTGGCAAATGACATTTCATTACAAGGCCTACTTGATCAAAAGCGACGATGCCACATTTCAAATAGGAAAAAATTACATTTTAAATGGTTTTTTGTTTAAAATTTAGTTAAATAATTAGGTAATTAATAATGTAGAATAAAATTATGGAAAATTCAACGAAATACCGGTAATAAAATTAAAAAATATTAGCGCGTAAGCCATTTTGAAACAATAATGGAGCTACACACATTTGTCACGAGATGGCGCTGCAATCGCGAGCCCCAAAATCGAGTAAAACAACTAATTAGAACTTAATTAAATTGCATCAAAATTAATGAAATTATAAGCCTTTAATAATAAGTTTTAATCAAGCAGGCTTTGGAATGGCAATTTTGACACTTGACAGTCGGCCATTATAAGTGAAAAATGGCCTCCGATTTTTCGTCGAATTTTCCAGTTTGCAATAGGAAAAAGTACTCAAAAGTGTTTGGAAAAGTGTCGCGGTTCGAATTCGGTGTTTATTTTGCCCGGAAAACTGAATTTCCGAGCGGGAGCCACAGTTTATAGGGTGAGTACCCAGAAAACGAATTTATTATAAAACACAGACTTTTTGTGTGTATAGTTTATAGTAATTTTATGTTGAAAGACAAAATGGATGATATCACTATTATGTCCCGAGCTAGAATAATCAGGAATTGGTTTCATTGTGTGATTCAAATAAACAAGAATTTCTAGAGATTGCTTGATTGAATTGTTTCGTATATAAAGCGCGTAGTTTGTAAGTTTTAGTCGGACTAGCACCAGATATTGAACATTTTTTCTAATATTTAACCATTAGCTGCCAACAATGTGCGAAAAACCCTCCAATCATCTTAATTATCCCTATTATTTTCCGAACAAAATTTGTATTTTAGAGTCGAATTTGTCTTTTTCAAGCATTCCTAAATTAAATCCGCAAAGAACAATTGGCCGCTTAAAATGTCCATTTTCTTATCCGAAATTCCACGCAAAACGAATTATTATTCGCTTTATCCAGAAAAAAAATTTCCAGCAACCGCAGAGGCAAATCCCGGCCATTTGACAAATATCTTGACCCTTGAAAATTATTTATTGTCGAGTGCCGGTTTGGGACCCAGACATAAAAATTAGCATAAAAAGAACACACACACACACACGGAAAATAATTTATTTTTTTGTGTGTTTAACATGAGGGTGAATTTAAACTAAACCTTTTTGTGTTTTACTTAAGGGGATTAACTTCAAATTTGCTCATTAAATCTTGATTATTGATGAAAATGTCTTTGAATTTTGTATATAGAAAGTCTTAAAAAAATATTCTATACCACAATGGCAATATATTAAATAGCTAATCAAAACCAGATATTTCACCTCCAGTCAAATTATCTCGAGAGATTTAAACCAAAAAGGGAGAACCACTTAAATCTCTCCTCGATCCTCTCATTTACTAAACGTCAAAAACATAAGCTTTTTGTTTTTGGGCAAACAATTAACTTGAATGACTTATAATAATTATTTTTTTTTTTTTTTGTAGCTCTTCCAAATACACATCCCAGTACAGTTTTACCCGTACGTGTATTTTCCGGTGCACGGATTAGCAATGTCCCACGCCTGCTACAATCCCATTATTTACTGTTACATGAACACGAGATTTAGAGATGGACTGTTTTTGATTTTGAGGACTTTGCCTTGCTTCAAACGTTGCTACGTGAGAAAATCCCACGGATCGATGTCTTATGGGTTTCAACATCATGCAGGTATGGATTATTTGTTTTATAGGCTTTTGAAAACTGGATTTTCACGTAGCTGAGAGCCTCCAAAAAGTGGCTTTTGGAAGGCTTTATTTTAATGTAAATTTTAAGCGGAATGAGAAATTTTTGAATGGAGAATGTTTAATTAAATTTATATGAGATTTTCTTTAGGCGTTAATAACCTAAATTTAAAAATCAAATTATGTTGAGCAGTGAAATTTATTTAAAACTTCAAGTTGAAGTTGGAGCTACAAGAACTTTTTGATGTGCTGTCATAGTCATGAGTCATGGTCTCAGAAATTCAATGACAGTTTCCGTAATATTCAACGAATCGACTTGTATTATAGATTTTCTGAAAGAGGATTGAATTCTCTATAAATCCTGCATTAACGGATTTAGTTGCTTTAATGAATTTTGAGAAGTTGTGCTTCAAAGTTAGAATTTTGGCGTAATTTTACCCAAAACTTCAAGTGAAAAGAAAAGAATTTGGATTGATACCTTTTATGGTTATCGATATATTACCCATTAAATCTTTGAATAAAAAAGTCAAAGGCAGTGGCGGCTCGTCAGAGGAGGCAGAGGAGGCTGAGCCTCCCTCAAAAAATTGAAAATTCAATCTCAATTTTTTATTCTTGATTCCTAATTGAAATAATAATTTACAAATTTCGATATTTCAATGTAATTTAGAAAAATCTGACAACATTATTTCAATCAATCCCGCGCCTCCACGACAAAAATCTGTGAATCTGGGATACTCAGTAATACCGGCCCGAAGGGCCGGAATTATATGCGAACTTAAAGGGTTGGAGTAATACAAGCCCGAAGGGCCAGACCGGAGTTATACGCGAGCCAGAAGGGCCGGAGTTATACGCGAACCCGAAGGGCCGGAGTTATACGCGAACCCGAAGGGCCGGAGTTATACGCGAGCCCGAAGGGCCAGAGTTATTTCAATCACGAGGCTCAGTCTATAATTCTATTGGTCAGCAGATAATTTGAAGCCAATTAAAAACCGGGAGTATTTAAAATGCGATTTTTAGCGTCCAATCAAAAAGCCGGGAATGTTCGAAAACTTTAGTTTTATCAAATTGACTTTGGAATGTTGGTTTTCTATGGGTTTTTTTTAAGATTTTCTTTTTTCAGAAAACGGTGGTTTTTGCAAACATATACTACTTTATCGTTGTCTTTGTCTTACTCACTATAATCAATAAGTAAACCTTATAATGTCATTTTCATCATCAATTGAACTGAAAATAAATTTCCTATGATTTATTTGGGGAATTTTAATTATTATAATCATTATTAAGAATTATTAAATTGAATTTTAAACATAAAACCCTTATAAAATGTTATTTTTGTTTTCCGAGATGAGATGTAGCAACGTTGCTTTTAGTTGGCCATTTTGAAGTGACGTCTTGTGATTTTTTTGCCAGTTTTTTCTCGAATTTTCGACTTTTCCGGGATTTTTTAATGGAAAAAAGCGATTTAACATATACGAGGTTTTGAGTTTTCTTCATTTCTAGTTTTAAATGCCATAATTAGCAAAATCCCATTTAAAATGCTTTTGATGTGGCAATATCGCTTGTGGCTAACTTCAATCAAGGAAGCATTTTTGACAGTCGGCCATTTTCAATTGACGTGTTTACATTTTTATCCAGTTTTTCGTCGAATTTTTCACTTTTCCGGGGCTTTTTCAGTCGGGAAAACTGATTTAAAGTACGAGGCTTTGAGTTTTCTTCATTTTCCACCAAAAATTTCCAGTTTTTCAACCGGGTAAGTGAGAAAAACTTTAGTTTCATCAAGTAGGTTTTGGAATGTCATTTTCGTTGGTTTTTTTTTTTGGAATTTTTATTTAGGGTTTTTGGGATCCGGGGAATGTTTTCCACCTCTTTTTTTCTTGAAATTCGCAAAATAAAAAAAATAAAACTTTTTTTGACGTTGACAGCTGTCAAATATTTTTGACACAAATCGATAGTTAGCGTCGTGAAACTGCCTTGTACCGGGGTTTGATTTTCGTAGCTTTTATAGTAGAGATTATAGGTTATTTTAAACCCAATCAAGAGCCGGGAATATTCCAAATTTAAAGCCAATCAAGAGCCGGGAATAATCAAAATTCGAATCCCCAAACCAATCAGGAGCCGGGAAAATTTAAAAATTCGAATTCCAAATCCGACGGGAAATTAAATTTTTTGTACCAACTGTTGCTACAAATGAATTCATTAAATTTTCATATATGTGTTGCTACATGTTGCTATATAAATCTCACCATAAAACCCACTAGGAAACGACGTTTTTTTTGAGATTGACAGCTGTCGAAATTTAAAAAAACCCACATGGGCATATAGATTTAGCCTCGGCGAATACATAGGAAGTACCAAATTTTTTTTCAACATATGTCAAAAAAGACGTTCGGCGTTGCCATGCCGTTGGTTTTTGACATATATCGATGAAACTTTTTATTTTAGTATTTTCGTTTTCTGACATTTGTTTTTTGAAAAAAAGAAAAGGTAAAAATTTTTGATATTGATAGTTGTCAAAATTAAAAAAAACCCACATGGACATATAGATTTAGCCTCGGCGAATACGTAGGAAGTAGCCAAACAGGGGACCGGCCAATTTTTTCCGTGCGTTCGTTATTTTGGTCTGAGTTCTCCGAGCTTGACTTTACCGTTCGTTTATTCAAAAAGTGTACTCGGTGTATCCTCATTCGCGTTCGTTTATTAAAATTTCTGGCACTTTTATACAGCGTTCAACTGCTCTGTTCGCTCGCTGGTCACGTGATTACGGCTACGCTCTGCACGCTCTGCTCTTCGAGCAAAATACCGAACGCAAGGTTTGACGTTTGTTGTATTATAAGCGGTGTTGCCATATATATATATATATTTTTTTTTTTTTCAAATCTCGATTCTGGAAGGCTGAGGTTATCTCAATTAGGAGCTCAAAGGGCCAAGGTTATACGAGTCCGAAGGGCCGGAATCATGCGAACCCGAAGGGCCGAAGTTATACGAGCCCGACAGACCGGAGTTATTTTGATCATTAGCCCGAAGGTCTGAGGTTATTCGAGCCCGAAGTGCCGGAGTTATACGAACTCGTTCATTGACAACTGATTTTAATACTTCGGCCCTTGGGACCATAATCTTTGGAACAAAAAGACGCTATTTTTTTATCGACTGTTGAAAAAACCAAGGCTTACTTTGAAATTACAATTTTTTGACGTTTGTTGTATCATGAGCAACGTTGCCATATGTTTTTATCAAATCTCGTTTTATAGGTTATTTTAAACCCAATCAAAAGCCGGGAATATTCAAAATTTAAAGCCAATCAAGAGTCGGGAATAATCAAAATTTGAATCCCCATATACGGGAGCTCGAAGGGCTAGAGTTCAATGACAGTTTTCTTAATTTTCAACGAATCGACTTGTATTTTAGATTTTCTGAAATTCTCTATAAATGTTCCAAAAACAAATTCAGAAGTTTCCATGGATTTTGAGAAATTGAGCTTCAAAGTAAAAATTTTGCTTTTGAAATAGTTCAAAATCAGTAAATCAGAATAATTTGGCCTCCTCCTGGATGAAAATTCCAAATTTTTTGTATGTTGAGATTTTGTGTTTGAATGATTATTCGAGACCCCAACCTCCATACACTAAATTATTTTGAGATTTGGAGCCGGATTCTATGAAAAAAGGCATTCAGAAAAATTGAAAAATTGATGAATCACCCCAAATTGCTTAACACGATTTTATCTCAGGAAATATAAGTCCAAATGAGCTGAAATTTTCAGGAATTGTAGTCCTCTACAGGGGTACGAATCACTGAAAATTTCAGCTTTCTAACTACAATAGAAAAATAGTTATGACCTTTCAAAGTTTTCCAAAATCTAAATCATAAAGTAGCTACCTAACTTCTTACTAAAGCGATGAAATTTCAATTTTTTTTGTCGAGATCAAAATAGTCCTTTGGGATCCCCCAAACTCCATACACTAAATTATTCTCAGATTTGGAGCCAGATTCTATCAAAAAAAGCACTCGGAAAAATTGAAAAATTGATAAATCACCCCAAATTGCTTAACACGATTTTATCGTAGGAAATATAAGTCAAAATGAGCTGAAATTTTCAGGGATTGTAGTCCTCTACTTGGGTAAGAATCGCAGAAAATTTCAGCTTTCTATCTATAATAGAAAAAAAAAATATGGATCTTCAAAGTTTTCAAAAATCCAATCCAAATCATAAAGTAGCTACGTAGTTTAATACTAGAATGATAAAAGTTTCAAATTTTTGTATGTTGAAATTAATAAATAAATGCTCAATATTTGATTTATCAACTGTACATTCAATTAATCAATCGTAGAATCTTTAATCTCAAGACAAGGGAGTAGCCTTCTCATGAGAACTATGGTTTTGCCTTCGCCACCTATATTTACATTTCCATAACACTGACAAAGACAGAACAATCGTTTCTCATGAGAACGTTGCTCCCCAGTTTCGAAAATAGGCGTCTAGGCTTTTTCTGTTTTTCTATTCAAGTAGTGAGAAAGTTTAGATATAATATTTTGAAGCTTCTCGTAATTTACGATAAAACAGTCAAGATTCTGTTAAGATTCTACTCTACAATTGAATCAATATTTGATTCATCAATAATTCTCGAGACAGGGGAACATATTTATATTTTTATAATACTGACAAAGACAGAATAATCGTTTCTCATGATAAAAGCTTCCCAGTTCCGAGAATAGAAGTCCAGGATTTATCTATACAGGTAATGAGTTTCAAAATACTTCAAACTTTGATCACAGCAAATATAAATCTGGACATTGTGATTGCTGAGAAAACTTTCACTTTTGATATTCCTGGAGTCACACATAATAGAATTTGAATTTAGAGTTTTGTTAAAAACTCAATGAACCTTCTGCAAGTAATTCCTAGTAAGATTCTTCTACATTAGGTACTTGAATAAATAATCACCAAAGACTATATAGATTTTCTACAATCATTCTACTCTAAATAGATCAAATTTCAACATTGCAAAACCATTCAGTAGGTAAATGATTTAGGAGATACTGCTTTGAAAACCGCTTCAAATGGAGAAGAAACTAGAAATCCAGATTCAAGATCATCATAAGTCAGTGAAGACTGCTTTTAGAACTGGCTTATTTGATCATTCCAATCCAAATAGTTCAAAATTTCACATCTCAGGCACTAAGGGCAATTCAGTAGGTATTTAGAATTTAGTTCTTTGGAAAAAATGTCATCAGATGAAGAAAAATCAGGCAAAACTTAAGAATCTAAAGGTTTTCGACTCAAAACTCTTGGCGTCACTCCAAAGACTTAATAAAGAAGACTTGAGATTCTTAAAACTCAAAACAATAGTGAAGATATTATGATTTGAATCCGGAAATATTACCAACTTAAAATGTACTTCATTATTTAAATTTGCAGTTAATTACTTCCAAAATTGAACTACCTACTCCATTCTCTTTGCCTAATTTCCCAATTCAAAGTTTCATCTTATATTAGCCCATATAATGCCATAGTCCAGTTATCATGCCAAAGGGAGAAAGGGTTCGGTTGTAAACCTTTTCAAGTGGGATTTCTGGGACAAGACTGATCCCGATTGTCCTGGCCGAGAGGACCTGGCAAATATATAAGTCAGTTTAAACGAATTGACACCGAAACGTTTTATTTCAGTGTCTCCTTTCGAGACAGAGGGATAAATTGAATAGTCAAAGAAATTGGGCTGTTTTGGGGAAAATAAATAAAATGGAGAAAATTACGTTTAACGTTACACTATTCTGATTATATAATAATGAACTTTTGCGTGGCAATAAAATCCATTTCTCACGTACTTTATATAGAAGTCTATTGCCTATAAGGAATGCTTAATGCTTTCGCCTGCAAATAACAAAGATCTAAAATGGGATAAACATGTTTTCGGTAATGACTTGCTTCTATTCCGCCCACGATAGACATGACTAGGCTTGCGGCAAGCTTTGCATATAAGACTTTCAATAGAAAATAAATTAATTAAAGTTGGTAATAGATGATTTTATTCAATTTACACCATCAATAAATAATTTATTTTCATTAATCTTAAGCAACTTCAATGTTTCATCCCATAAATCCTCAGCCAATTTCCGATTAGTTGCTGAAGTGTATGACGTAACTACTCCGCATTCTTCAAAATGTCTTCCGCTTAGATTTTCAATATTTTGCTCGGTTGCCGTGAAGATGATTGTTTGAGAACCTTGTAGAGGAGTCTAAAAAGAAAAAAGTTTTTTCGGTCCCTAGAGTGCAATTTCAAATTTTCGTTTTCTCTTGCCTGAGTGATTGTAAGAGAAAATTTTCTTTTTTAAAATATCACGTCTGACCTTAAAGTAAGTAAACTTGAAAATGTCTTTGTGGTCAGAAACACGCTTCGCCTCTTTTTTTTTGTAAAACTACCCACCCCAATTAAAATTAATTGCGATTTTTCATTGTGCGGTAAAGCTCAAACAAAATGAAATTAAAAGAAATTTCCTTATAGAATTTCTAGTAAAACAATTATTATATTTTTATATTAAAAAACTTACTTTAAACGTAAAATACGCTGCAAAGTTAAATAGAGTCTTGGACCAGTTTTGCATGGTAAGCCTTCGAAATATTTTGGTTCGTATTACTCCAGGGTGAAGTGAAAAGACGCTTATGCTAGTAGCTAAAACAAAGTTACAAGAAAAATAGGCTTTCTATAATATAAAAAGTTTACCTTTTAATTTCTCAGCTAACATCATTGTAAATAAAATATTGCCCAATTTTGAGTTCGAATAAGTTCCTAAACTTCTAGCATATTGATTCAAATTGCTTGGATCAATTTTTCCAATTTTTGCTAACACAGAAGCCACATTGATTATTCGTGCTTTTGGAGATTTCATCATTAAATCTAAAAAACAAATTAAACCTGAAACATTGAATAAGATGCTAAAATTCTCAAAGAACTTTTCCAATTATCGCCGAATTACAGAGATAAAGAGCAATCTTCATATATCGGTCTGTCGAAAACATTCAGATCAAAGGGAATTGTCGGTTAATGAACGAAATCCCGACGCCGGAAAACACTAAATCCGGTCCTGGATTAAATCGGTTTTAATCCGATCTGATAATGGCGTAATACGAGAATTCGGTTATTAGGTGAAATGAAAACTGAGCAGTATTGCCAATGACCCGATAATTATCGAATTCTACCATAATTTTGACTACGATTCAATAATCGATAATGACAAGCTAATCTACCATAATTTATTGAAACTACAATTTTAATATAGATTTCTCAAATTTCTAGTTAAAAATTAAAAATTAATTAAAAAATTGAAGATAGTTGTTGGTTTTAAGTGTTTTGACGTATTGGTGCGAGCACCAAACACTAGTCCCAGATTGAGCCAAAGTTTCATGCCAATAAATTTACTGGTTTCCAAAATATGGCCCTTTGAAATATTTGAAAATCAAATTCCCATGCATATACCCCTTTGGAAAAGTTCGAATTTTTAAATTTTCAGTTTTTCAAATTTTTGACTTCACCAATCGAAAGAAGAGGTTAAAATTAGTAGAAAAGCATTTTCGCAACTTTCCTTTTTGGGTTTTAAAGCCTTTAAAAATAAAAATGATTTTTGCAATTTTTGGGCTCAAAAAGTTCAATAATCTGACATTCTTTCACAAAGTTGCTGATTACTCAGTTATTATTGTAACAAATAAATGTGAAATTATATATTCTGAATCAGAATTAAATTATCTTCAAGATAAAATAAGATTTAATTCTATATCTTAAATACTTGTGAAGATATTGAGGCTCAAAGTTGAAACTTTACCTCAAATTTTGCAATAGCTTCCAGAAGGATTATCCTGAAAACGAAGCCCTTAGGCTCGGAGTCTTAAATAACCTTTTTTGTAGCCCTTATTAAGAGCTACAATTGGGCGAAAGATTCATGCCAATAGTTTTACTGGTTTCCAAAATACAAGTATTTGAAATATTTGAAAATCCAATTTCCATGCATACCCCTTTGGAAAAGTTCGAATTTTTAAATTTTTGGATTTTGCAATTTTTGACTTTACTAATCAAAAGAGGAGGTAAAAATTAGTAGAAAAGCATTTACGCAACTTTGTTTTTAGGGTTTTAAGGCTTGTAGAAAAATAAAAACGATATTTGCAATTTTTGGGCTCAAAAAATTTCAATAATCTGACATTCTTTCACAAAATTATTGTTTACTCGGTTATAATTGTAACAAATATGATGTAAAATTATATATTCTGAATCAGAATTAAATTATCTTCAAGATAAAATAAGATTCAATTCTATATCTTAAATACTTGTGAAGATATTGAGGCTCAAAGTTGAAACTTCACCTCAAATTTTGCAAAAGCTTCCAGGCGGATTATCTTGAAAACGAAGCCCTTGGGCTCGGAGTCTTAAATAACCTTTTTTGTAGCCCTTATTAATAGCTGCAATTGAGCGAAGATTCATGCCAACAGTTTCACTGGTTTCCAAAATACAAGTATTTGAAATATTTGAAAATCCAATTTCCATGCATACATACCCCTTTGGAAAAGTTCGAATTTTTAAATTTTTGGATTTTGCAATTTTTGACTTTACCAATCAAAAGAGGAGGTAGAAATTAGTGGAAAAGCATTTACGCAACTTTGTTTTTAGGGTTTTAAGGCTTGTAGAAAAATAAAAACGATATTTGCAATTTTTGGGCTCTAAAAATTTCAATAATCTGACATTCTTTCACAAAATTATTGATTACTCGGTTATTATTGTAACAAATATGATCTAAAATTATATATTCTGAATCAGAATTAAATTATCTTCAAGATAAAATAAGATTCAATTCTATATCTCAAATACTTGTGAAGATATTGAGGCTCAAAGTTGAAACTTCACCTCAAATTTTGCAAAAGCTTCCAGGCGGATTATCTTCAAAACGAAGCCCTTGGGCTCGGAGTCTTAAATAACCTTTTTTGTAGCCCTTATTAAGAGCTACAATTGGGCAAAACATTCATGCCAATAGCTTCACTGATTTCCAAAATACAAGCATTTGAAATATTTGAAAATCCAATTTCCATGCTTGTACATACCCCTTTGGAAAAGTTCGAATTTTTAAATTTTTGGATTTTGCAATTTTTGACTTTACTAATCAAAAGAGGAGGTAAAAATTAGTAGAAAAGCATTTACGCAAGTTCGTTTTTAGGGTTTTAAGGCTTGTAGAAAAATAAAAACGATTTTTGCAATTTTTGAGCTCAAAAAATTTCAATAATCTGACATTCTTTCACAAAATTGCGGATTACTTGGTTATTATTGTAACAAATATGATGTAAAATTATATGTTCTGAATCAGAATTAAATTATCTTCAAGATAAAATAAGATTCAATTCTATATCTCAAATACTTGTGAAGATATTGAGGCTCAAAGTTGAAACTTCACCTCAAATTTTGCAAAAGCTTCCAGGTGGATTATCTTGAAAACGAAGCCCTTGGGCTCGGAGTCTTAAATAACTTTTTTTGTAGCCCTTATTAAGAGCTACAATTGGGCAAAACATTTATGCCAATAGCTTCACTGATTTCCAAAATACAAGCATTTGAAATATTTGAAAATCCAATTTCCATGCCATACATACCCCTTTGGAAAAGTTCGAATTTTTAAATTTTTGGATTTTGCAATTTTTGACTTTACTAATCAAAAGAGGAGGTAGAAATTAGTGGAAAAGCATTTACGCAACTTTGTTTTTAGAGTTTTAAGGCCTGTAGAAAAATAAAAACGATATTTGCAATTTTTGGGCTCAAAAAATTTCAATAATCTGACATTCTTTCACAAAATTATTGATTACTCGGTTATTATTGTAACAAATATGATCTAAAATTATATATTCTGAATCAGAATTAAATTATCTTCAAGATAAAATAAGATTCAATTCTATATCTCAAATTCTTGTGAAGATATTGAGGCTCAAATTTGAAACTTCACCTCAAATTTTGCAAAAGCTTCCAGGCGGATTATGTTGAAAACGAAGCTCTTGGGCTCGGAGTCTTAAATAACCTTTTTTGTAGCCCTTATTAAGAGCTACAATTGGGCAAAACATTCATGCCAATAGCTTCACTGATTTCCAAAATACAAGCATTTGAAATATTTGAAAATCCAATTTCCATGCATACACATACCCCTTTGGAAAAGTTCGAATTTTTAAATTTTTGGATTTTGCAATTTTTGACTTTACTAATCAAAAGAGGAGGTAGAAATTAGTGGAAAAGCATTTACGCAACTTTGTTTTTAGGGTTTTAAGGCCTGTAGAAAAATAAAAACGATATTTGCAATTTTTGGGCTCAAAAAATTTCAATAATCTGACATTCTTTCACAAAATTATTGATTACTCGGTTATTATTGTAACAAATATGATCTAAAATTATATATTCTGAATCAGAATTAAATTATCTTCAAGATAAAATAAGATTCAATTCTATATCTCAAATACTTGTGAAGATATTGAGGCTCAAATTTGAAACTTCACCTCAAATTTTGCAAAAGCTTCCAGGCGGATTATCTTGAAAACGAAGCCCTTGGGCTCGGAGTCTCAAATAACCTTTTTTGTAGCCCTTATTAAGAGCTACAATTGGGCAAAAGATTCATGCCAATAACTGCACTGGTTTCCAAAATATGGCTCTTTGAAATATTTGGAAATCAAATTTCCATGCATACCTGTACCCATGTGGAAAAGTTCGAATTTTTAAATTTTCAGTTTTTCGAATTTTTGACTTTACCAATCGAGAGAAGAGGTTAAAATTAGTAGAAAAGCATTTTCGAAACTTTCCTTTTTGGGTTTTAAAGCCTTGTTAAAAAATAAAAACGATTTTTGAAATTTTTGGGCTCAAAAAATTTCAATGATCTAACATTCTTTCACAAAATTGCTGATTACTCGGTTATTATTGTAACAAATATAATGTAAAATTATATATTCTGAATCAGAATTAAATTATCTTCAAGATAAAATAAGACTCAATTCTATATCTTGAAGACTTCTGAAGATATTGAGGCTCAAAGTTGAAACTTTACCTCAAATTTTGCAAAAGCTTCCAGGAGGATTATCTTGAAAACGAAGCCCTTGGGCTCGGAGTCTTAAATAACCTTTTTTGTAGCCCTTATTAAGAGCTACAATTGAGCGAAAGATTCATGCCTATAGTTTCACTGGTTTCCAAAATATGGCCCTTTGAATGGTATTTGAAAATCAAATTTCCATGCATACCCCTTTGGAATAATCTGACATTCTTTTACAAAGTTGCTGATTACTCAGTGAAATATAATGTAAAATTATATGTTCTGAATCAGAATTAAATTATCTTCAAGATAAAATAAGACTCAATTCTATATCTTAAATACTTTTGAAGATATTGAGGCTCAAAGTTAAAACTTTGTCTCAAATTTTGCAAAAGCTTCAAAGCCGATTATCTTGAAAACGAAGCCCTTGGACTCGAAGTCTTGAATAACCATTTTTTGAAGCTCTTATTGAGAGCTACAATTGCCAGAGTCCCAACTAGAACCCGAAAAATGAAAATAGAGATAAAAAGTCAAAAAAGTTGACAGAAACTTTTTCTGATAATTTTTCTTGGAATCTGATACTTTTGTTCTCAAATCCTGATAATTTTAAATTTGACATCTGACAACACTGAAACTGAGTCTATTATTTCACGAATTCAATAAAGATATTTTGAATTATTTTTAAACAATTTCAAGTCTGGAACAACTTGAAGCATATTTTTCCTAATGAAAGGGATTTTAATCCATAAATCATGGAAATTTAAAATCACTGAAATATTTTTTACAGGCTGCCAAATGAGATTTTAGGAGAAAATTATGAATTATCTTTACAGATACATATGCAAAAATAACAATTTCAACTGTATTTCCAAGCTCTGGATCAATTCGAAGTGTATTTTTCCTAATGGAAGGGATTTTGATCCATAAATCATGGGAATTTAAAGTCACTGTAACGCCTAAAAGTATTTTTCACAGGCGATTTTGAATTATCTTTAAAGATACACAAAGAAAACAATTTCAACTGTGTTTTCAAGCTTTGGATCAACTTAAAGTGTATGTTTCCTAATGAAAGGGATTTTGATCCATAAATCGTGAAAATTCTAAGTCATTGTGATGCCTAGAAGTATTTTTACAGGCTCCCAAATGCGATTCTAAAAAATTTTTGAATTATCTTTAAAGATACATAAGGAGCATAATTTCAACCTTATTTTCAAGCTCTGGATCAACCTGAAGTGTATTATTTGCTGTGAAGTCATATTTTGGAAACCACAAAAGCTATCGGCATGAAATTTTGTCAAATTGTAGATCTCGATTGGGATTTCAGAAAAAGTTAGTTGGGGCTCGTTTTCGTAATAATCGCCTTTGAAATTTTTCCAAAAATTAAGACAAAGTTCCAAATTTAAAACTCAATATTTCAAAAACTATTCGAGATAAATGATTCAATTTTGTTTTATTTTAAAGAACATTCAATTCTGATAAAGAAACTTGCAATAATTCCTCACCAAGTAATAACAGAGTGAACAATACAGGCCCAAAATAGTTAATTTGCATCACATTCTGAAACCCATCTTCAGTAACCTTATCCAAGAGTGCAGCAGCTCCTGCATTATTCACCAACACATCCAATCTATCTTCATTTTCCAGAATATCTTTAGCACGTTCCCTTACCGAACAAAGCCTGGCAAAATCCACCTATAAAAAAAAATTAATTTACTCAAACTTTCATCAATCAGTGGTACACTTACTATTTTAACCTCAACGTTGACGTTTTCGGTCTGCCTCACAATTTCCGTCCTGGCAATTTCCGCTTTTTCCCGATCCCGGCATGCTAAAATCACTCTGGCACCCCGTTTCGCAAAGTCCAGAGCTGCACAGTAGCCGATACCTTGAAAGTGATGTTCAATCAAGTGTGGAACACTGACACAAAGCCAAAAATAATTTTTTCTTGTTTTTTACCTGTATTTGCTCCAGTGACCACAACAGTTTTTCCAATCAAACTCACATTATTCAGGCAAGTTTTGCTTTTGAATAGCAAGTAAATTTTGAGCGTGAATAGCCAAGCAGTAAGGATAAAAATTATAATCAAAAACATTTTTGTTTTGGAACTGGCCTAATAATAATTAAAATGCGGGTTTTGTTAATTACTATTCCAACTTGCATGTAATGCATTTTTCATATTTAGCATGGGCATTGTTTAATTGTGACATGCAATAATTCAAGTAGTTAACTTTTCAACGTTTGAAAAACGCTTTATTTTCAAAAGGGAGCTCTTTGCTCACGCTATCTTTCTATAAAAGTAAATGCAATTTTTATCGGATGTTTGCAGGAAAATAGTTTCAAAGTGGCTAAGACAAGGCTTCCAATGGATTTTAGTGGAGAATCTTTTCATCATTTTAATATTTTTTACTTTAGCAATGAAATATGATATAGTCGGTGAATATTGATTTGAAAGCTTAACAAAAGAATATTAAATTTTTCATTATTTCAAAGGAACATATTGTGAAAACTATAGAAAAGCTAAAGGCACGATATTTTGTCAAATTGTAGATTTCAATTGGGGCTTTAAAAAAGGTTATTTGGGACACTTCCGTTTTCGAGATAATCAAGTTTGGAGATTTTTAAAAATTTTAGAGTTTCAAGTTTGAGGCTTAATATCTTGGAAACTTTTTCAGATAAATGATTCAATCTTATTTTATCTTAAAAAGTATTTAATTCTGATTAAGAATATATAAATATGCATCAGAATTTGTAGAATACTAATTGAGTAATGAGCAATTTTGAGAGGCAATGTCTGAATATAAAATTTTTTTAGAACAAAAAATGATAAAATCATTTTTAATTTTTTACAGTTCTCGAAACTTTAAAAAGAAAAATCATGCAGATGATTTTCTGCTAACTTTGACCCCCTCTTTCGATTGGAAAAATCTAGAAAAATCAAAATTAAAATTTTTCCAAAGAGTATGAAAGGAAATATTATTAATTTTGGCTTCACTTTCTTCAATTTACCTAAAAATATATAAGTTTTTTAAAACATACAAGATGTGTCGTTATCATTTACCTATGAGAAAACCTACAATATTAATAACATCATCAAAGCCAAATAGGTACTCATCTTTTCACGGTAAAAAACACCTTTAATTCAAAAATAATTAAAATTTCACATAATCGATAATGAATCACCCTGTATCTTAAATTCCCCAAAGATGCCACTTGTCATCACTCGGATATCAAAAGTAGGAGACCTGTAGATAACAAATTCTTTAAAATAAAAAATTATTGGGTTCACCCTAGTGACTGCCGGACTAAATGGAGATTTATATGCAAATATACAAAATCAAATAATCAGGTTGTACGAGCTAATCAGTGGACTGTATTTTTAAAAGTTATCAAAAATCGATAAATGGCAAAACCAATAAAGGACTTACCCCGAAACTGCGTGGGTCTTAGGCACTAAAATAATTGGTTCTGGTTTGATTGCCGGCAAAAATCATTCTCCTTTTTCGGACAGCGACAGCACATATTTTCGGCTACTCAATCTCTCTGTCCTTCTTTAATCAAGAGCGCACTCTTGCTCTCTTTTACGGTACCGCGCGAAAAGTCCATGGAAATGCCATTCTCACGCGCAATTATTAATTGAAATTTACACTTCAAATTTAAGACATATATACAAGTTGCGTTTAAATTACCCAAATTACAATACGATAAAACGTAAGTCCCAAACACAGGTTACAATTATTCAAAAACTGTAGGTAGGTATATGGGATTAAATTCATTTTAATGGGGAAGGTTATAAGGAGGTTGTAAGAACATCAGTGACGTACATTCAATCGACCAACCAAAGCAGATTTACTTAAATATCCAGAATAGGTAAAATTACAAAGAAAAATGAAGAACCTCGAAAAAAAATCTGTCAATAATTGAGACTCTCATTGTAGTTCATTGATAATGTGGATAACCGATTATAAGATGTCCACGCTTCTGTAGCTCGAAGCTGGTTCAAAATGAGCTTTTTTGAGTCGTTCCAGAGTTTCTCATTCATCAACACTATTTTTAAATCAAACTAATTGTCGACAAAATATTCATTTTCATATAAAATCCTTTTATGAAGCCTTTTTATCCGAGACTTTTATTGTGGCCGGTAACTTTCAATCGAGCCAGAGATAACTGGAACTATAAAGCTAGCGCAAAACTATAAAATGTCGTTCAGTTTATCGCCTATTACGCCCAGTTATAGTAAATAATTTATCGGTTTTTGGCCTTATTGCTATCCTATACTTACTTGTATATAGGAAAGACTATATTGCCGATTATCTCTTAGAACTTTTTAAAGCATATTATGTTTTGTGAGAAATTAAATTTTTATTTTAGAGACAAATTTACTATAAGACAATGTTTCATAAGAATTTACACGTAAATTCCAATTTGTTAATAATTTTTAATAAAATTTATCATCCATTGTCTAGAGGCATGATTTGAATAGGCAAAAAAAAATCATTATTACAAATTTTCCACAGTCAAAATTTTACGACTCTATAGTTCAGACACCATAGAGTTTTTATTTTTTTACGACCAGTCCATATATAAAAATGACACAGCGTCATTTTGTCTTGATGTATTTTATGCTGATGGAGTCGATATACGACCTTCTTGTTGTATATAATATTAATACGATTAGACTCTGGGTACATTGTAAATATAAAAATAAAACTCTCCTTGAGGGATGCGAACAGAGCAAAAGGTTCATGTTTTATTCAGCTTTTTGTTGATTTCAAGGAGATTTAATATGCCATTACGTTAATGAAATATGGTGGTTTGTCCGTCCTATTGAATTTCGAAATTCGAAACTATCCAGAATTCACGAGCAAATAAAGGACCATTTCGATTTTAAATGGCTGGTTGAACCTTGCATTTCATTATCTTGCTGATTATGTGGCGAAAACGCAATTTAAATCTAAACTTCCGTCGATAACTTCGAACATGTGAAATTTTTGGTTACATTGATTGATTGACATAACTCTAGAAACGTACAAGCAAGACATTTTCAATTATTATATTACATAAAAAAAAAAAACAATTTCTTGTTTTATTTTAAAGCAGTCATCCCTCTGGATGTTAGAAAAGCTTCGCGAGTTTTATTATTTTGTAGTTACGTTTTCCGACATTTTACGACTGTTTTCCTTTTTTTTTTTTATTGTCACTAAATTCAAATTTAAATGCAGACGACACGCAGAGAATCCCAAAAAATATAGACAGTAAAAACAGAGCTTTATTTTTGTGTCTACATCCGAAAGAATTATCGTTTTGTGCTCGTTTCCGAGGAAAGCAAAACGAGAATTAATTAGTTTAGAAAAGCGAGAAATTATTTCTCAAAATCACCTTTTAAAAGACTTAAACTTTCAAAATGTATAAATCAGAATCTCTCTTGATAGAAGAAATAAACTGAAGTTTTGAAATCATAATTTGAAGTTTTCGCAAAATCATCTATGGAAAATAGTTCCAACCATCTCAGTGATTTCAAATTTTCAGAATTTTTTAAGAAATTGGAGTCTTTATTAAAAGAGAAAATTAATTTGAAGTAGCTGTGAAATAATATAGGATAAATATTTATAATCCAGGCTCTTGAATTTGCTGATGAATCAACTTTTAAGACGATAATTTTATGGGGTAAGTAGGTACTTTTAATCTAAATCCAGTCGTCGGAACAAAATTACCAGTAAAAATTACTCCAGAGATGGAATCACTGAAAGAAGTAGCCAAGGATTCACAAATTCTCATGCATATTTAAATATTCTTGATCAGAATTAAAGGCTCTTTCAGATAAAATAAGATTGAATCATTTACCTCAACTAGTTTTTGAGATATTGAGCTTCAAAGTTGAAACTTTGTCTAATATTTTGGAAAATCTTCAAAGCAGATTATCTCGAAAACGAAGACTTAGGGCTCAATGCCCCAAATAACCTTTTTTGAAACCCTAATCGAGATCTACAATTGGGCGAAATTTCATAACGATAGATTTTCTGGTTTCCAAAATATAGCCGTTTGAAATATTTAAAAATTAAATTTTTTTGCATAACCCTTGGAAAAATTTCAATTTTGATTTTTCTAGATTTTCCAATTTTTGACTTCACCAATCGAAAGAGGGGTCAAATTTAGCAGAAAACCATCTTCATGATTTTTCTGTGTAAAGTTTCAAGACCTGTAAAAAATTAAAAATGATTTTATCATTTTTTGTTCTAAAAAAATTTAAAAATTCAGACATTGCCTCATAAAATTGCTCATTACTCAATTGATATTCCACAAATTCTGATGTATATTTATATTTTCTTAATTAGAATTAAATGCTCTTTAAGATAATACAAGACTGAATAATTAATCTCAAACAGTTTTCAAGATATTGAGCCTCAAAGTTTAAATTTTGTCTAATATTTTGGAAAATCTTCAAAGCAGATTATCTCGAAAACGAAGCCTTAGGGCTCAATACACCAAATAACCTTTTTTGAAACCCTAATCGACATCTATAATTGGGCGAAATTTCATAACGATAGATTTTCTGGTTTCCAAAATATGGCTCTTTGAAATATTTAAAAATGAAATTTCCTTGCATACCCCTAGGAAAAATTTCAATTTTGATTTTTCTAGATTTTCCAATTTTTGACTTCACCAATCGAAAGAGGGGTCAAATTTAGTAGCAAACCATCTTCATGATTTTTCTTTTTAAAGTTTCAAGACCTGTAAAAAATTAAAAATGATTTTATCATTTTTTGTTCTAAAAAAATTTTAAATTCAGACATTGCCTCATAAAATTGCTCATTACTCAATTAATATTCCACAAATTCTGATGTATATTTATATATTCTTAATTAGAATTAAATGCTCTTTAAGATAAAACAAGACTGAATAATTAATCTCAAACAGTTTTCAAGATATTGAGCCTCAAAGTTTAAATTTTGTCTAATATTTTGGAAAATCTTCAAAGCAGATTATCTCGAAAACGAAGCCTTAGGGCTCAATGCCCCAAATAACCTTTTTTGAAACCCTAATCGACATCTACAATTGGGCGAAATTTCATAACGATAGATTTTCTGGTTTCCAAAATATGGCCGTTTGAAATATTTAAAAATGAAATTTTTTTGCGTAACCCTTGGAAAAATTTCAATTTTGATTTTTCTAGATTTTCCAATTTTTGACTTCACCAATCGAAAGAGGGGTCAAATTTAGCAGAAAACCATCTTCATGATTTTTCTGTGTAAAGTTTCAAGACCTGTAAAAAATTAAAAATGATTTTATCATTTTTTGTTCTAAAAAAATTTAAAAATTCAGACATTGCCTCATAAAATTGCTCATTACTCAATTGATATTCCACAAATTCTGATGTATATTTATATTTTCTTAATTAGAATTAAATGCTCTTTAAGATAATACAAGACTGAATAATTAATCTCAAACAGTTTTCAAGATATTGAGCCTCAAAGTTTAAATTTTGTCTAATATTTTGGAAAATCTTCAAAGCAGATTATCTCGAAAACGAAGCCTTAGGGCTCAATACACCAAATAACCTTTTTTGAAACCCTAATCGACATCTATAATTGGGCGAAATTTCATAACGATAGATTTTCTGGTTTCCAAAATATGGCTCTTTGAAATATTTAAAAATGAAATTTCCTTGCATACCCCTAGGAAAAATTTCAATTTTGATTTTTCTAGATTTTCCAATTTTTGACTTCACCAATCGAAAGAGGGGTCAAATTTAGTAGCAAACCATCTTCATGATTTTTCTTTTTAAAGTTTCAAGACCTGTAAAAAATTAAAAATGATTTTATCATTTTTTGTTCTAAAAAAATTTTAAATTCAGACATTGCCTCATAAAATTGCTCATTACTCAATTAATATTCCACAAATTCTGATGTATATTTATATATTCTTAATTAGAATTAAATGCTCTTTAAGATAAAACAAGACTGAATAATTAATCTCAAACAGTTTTCAAGATATTGAGCCTCAAAGTTTAAATTTTGTCTAATATTTTGGAAAATCTTCAAAGCAGATTATCTCGAAAACGAAGCCTTAGGGCTCAATGCCCCAAATAACCTTTTTTGAAACCCTAATCGACATCTACAATTGGGCGAAATTTCATAACGATAGATTTTCTGGTTTCCAAAATATGGCCGTTTGAAATATTTAAAAATGAAATTTTTTTGCGTAACCCTTGGAAAAATTTCAATTTTGATTTTTCTAGATTTTCCAATTTTTGACTTCACCAATCGAAAGAGGGGTCAAATTTAGCAGAAAACCATCTTCATGATTTTTCTGTGTAAAGTTTCAAGACCTGTAAAAAATTAAAAATGATTTTATCATTTTTTGTTCTAAAAAAATTTAAAATTCAGACATTGCCTCATAAAATTGCTCATTACTCAATTGATATTCCACAAATTCTGATGTATATTTATATTTTCTTAATTAGAATTAAATGCTCTTTAAGATAATACAAGACTGAATCATTAATCTCAAACAGTTTTCAAGATATTGAGCCTCAAAGTTGAAATTTTGTCTAATATTTTGGAAAATCTTCAAAGCAGATTATCTCGAAAACGAAGCCTTAGGGCTCAATGCCCCAAATAACCTTTTTTGAAACCCTAATCGACATCTACAATTGGGCGAAATTTCATAACGATAGATTTTCTGGTTTCCAAAATATGATCCTTTGAAATATTTGAAAATGAAAAGAATTTTCCAATTTTTGACTTCACCAATCGAAAGAGGGGTCAAATTTAGCAGAAAACCATCTTCATGATTTTTCTGTGTAAAGTTTCAAGATCTGTAAAAAATTAAAAATGATTTTATAATTTTTTGTTCTAAAAAAAGTTAAAATTCAGACATTGCCTCACAAAATTGCTCATTTCTCAATTAATATTCCACAAATTCTGATGTTAATTTATATATTCTTAATTAGAATTAAATGCTCTTTGAGATAAAATAAGATTGAATCATTTACCTCAACTAGTTTTTGAGATATTGAGCCTAAAAGTTGAAACTTTGTCTAAAATTTTGGAAAATCTTCAAAGCAGATTATCTCGAAAACGAAGCCCTAGGGCGCAGTGCCCCAAATAACCTTTTTTGAAACCCTAATCGAGATCTACATTTGGGCGAAATTTCATAACGATAGATTTTCTGGTTTCCAAAATATGATCCTTTGAAATATTTGAAAATGAAAAGAATTTTCCAATTTTTGACTTCACCAATCGAAAGAGGGGTCAAATTTAGCAGAAAACCATCTTCATGATTTTTCTTTTTAAAGTTTCAAGACCTGTAAAAAATTAAAAATGATTTTATCATTTTTGCTCTAAAAAAAATTAAAATTCAGACATTGCCTCACAAAATTGCTATGTTCCCTGTTTCTGGCATCTCCCTTTACCTTCCCCATTAGAATGAATCTATTCCCATGTTTTTAAGCTTGAATATCTCGAGATACGTGAGAGATGTTGAACTAAAATTTCCAGGAATTGTAGCTCCCATTGAGCTCTTAAAAACCTGTATTGGAAAATATTTTCAGGTTTTTAGTTTTTGAGAAAATTGAGTTTGAAATTTTTGACTAAATATCGACTAAAATTCAACTTTGAGGCTCAATTGCTGAAAAAGTATTTGAGCTATGAAACTCAATTTAACACAGACTTATAGAGAATTTATTGCTTTTCTCGATATTGTATAATTTATTTTGATTTGTTCAAATTTCAAAAGAAATATTGGCAATTTTTCTTTTAACCTTGTCATGATTTTTTAGTATTTTTACTTGAAACACTTTGTTCGTAGAAGAAATTTCATATTAATTACAAAATAAAATTCAATATAACAAAACTAATAAATTATGATTTTCAAATTCGATTCACCCTTCCAATAATAATTAAAATGCCCCTTTTAATTTGCAGCGAGGGTCCACAATAATTATTAATATTGTTCACCAATATTGCTCGCCGTCGATTTAATATCAATGTCCAGCTATCAATTTCAAATTAATTAAACCATTTTCGCATTTTTTTTTTTCAGGTATCGAAGGCACTGACAGTACAACATTGCAAAGGAACAACACATTTACCACTTACATTACATTGAACAGGAAAAATCGTTTGTCAACATATCAAAATACTACAAGAAGTTCATCGTTCAATAGGAGCTTACATAACGGCAATGGTAACAATCGGAATAGGAAATCTTTGAATAAAGCTGTTGCCGATGAACCAATTTAAGTTTTATCATTTATATCAATGTGTAGATTTAACATTAAATGTACGTACTATTATCAAATACATACATAGATCAAAATGATATTAATAGTGTAAATATAATTATGTATGTATTTACAAAACTGGGGAAATTTACTATTAATACTTAGTGAAAAATGAATCCATAATAATTTAAGTTTGTAATATTGTACTATTATACAAACAAGGACCAGGCTACTAGACACATAGGCTTCAATGATACCAGTTCTCCTTATGTGTCTAATAAGTGGGTCCGGTCTGTATACATACCTACATATTTCTAAGTATTTTAATTAAATGTTAAACATAATATTATCCAAATTAATGTAATGTATACCAAACTATTGTGATCCAATAAAAATGTGTATTATTTTTAATTTTTGTAAATATTTCTATATAGTGTAACAAATAAATATATTTATTGTTAAAAAAAGGCACAACTTTGAAGTCTGTTAAGCTGCTTTTATTATTAATTTTATATCAAGATTAACTTAATAAATGTTTACTTCTTCTTCTTTTTAAGAGGAGGGTCCAATTCACACATTCTCCTTAAGAATGCTACAAAATATTTATAAATATTTGAAAATTATTAAAAACAAAATTACTTACGATCATATACAATTTGTCCTTCATCGTCTTCTTCATCCATGCAATCATCCCAAAGTTCATCCAATTGGTTGTCGTCAAGTTTTTCACCTAAAGATTTCAACATGTGAGCCAATTCAGCTTCCATCATATGACCATCTTCATTTTTGTCGTACAATTTCAGACATTCAATGAAATCTTCATAGCAACCTTCGTCCTTTTTTTGCTTTTTCAATTCAATGATTATAGGAATACAATCTGCCATCTTCATTGTTTTTTCCCCTTTCTTTTCAGGCATTCCTAGTTTCTTCAAAGTTTCCAAACTGGGATTGCAATTCATTGCTCGAGCTACCATACCCAAATCTGTACCGTCGATGATCTTTTCATTGCCTCCATAAACTTCCAATGCAAATTCCAAACCTAATTAATAATTAGTTGAATAATTTTGTTTGATTAATAAATATTGGTACTTACTTTCTAATTCTTTTGGCTTCAGTGCGTCAGTCTGAAAAATAAAAAAATTTAAAGTAAAATTTGGATAAGAGAAATTCTTTTAAACTGACCATTATGTGACTGTGTAAGGGCGCACCACTTAAAACTGACTGGATCTTTTCAACAGGAACGGATGAACTTTAACGAGAGACCTGGATAACGACAGCGGTCGGTTTTATATAGACCAAATCCTAATTTAAAATTAAGGTGAGGATAATTTACATCGTTAGCGTGTCGCAATCTAATCGAAAGATTATCGGGCGTACGTTACGATGAAATGGGCCGAAGAAAACTTTTAACAGCTTCAATAAGATTTTCTTTGAGGAAACCATTTGTGAATCATGGATATGAGACTTAAGACTTATGACGAATTTTGTGGGGCAAACTCAAAATATTTAAATAAATGAGTAGAAAGAACATCTAAACACTAAAACTTTAGTGAATATAAGAAACAATTATTATTGTAAGTACCTATACAGGGTGGTCCTCCGGGAATGACATCGATTGCTTATGGGAAAACTGTGAAAGGTAAAAATTTGAAAATTTGGCAACATAGCAATGTCGATGGGGGACATACAGGTAAAATATTTTCAAGATGGCATGGTTTATTTCTATGTACTTTAGCTTTGACGGATCCAAAGTTCTTGAAGTTTTCTAAAATTCTTTTAACAGTTTTTTCACTTGGTTTCTGTTTCTGCGGATATCGGTTCGCAAATGTATCACATGTTCTTGAAATAACTTTATTACATTCTCCATAAATAATAAATAAATTTAAATAATCTTCATTTGTATAATTTAATCTTCCCGGCATGATTATTATCGAAAATTATTTCAATTTTTGTGACAAGGACATGCACGTTCTGCTTGACATTCTGTCATGCGCAAGGGTGCGTTCAGTTATTATTTTTAGAGCAAAATCGCCATATAAAAATATTAAATTGGCAATATTTCGAAAACTAAACATTTTCGGAATAGATAACCTTACACAAACTTACCTTTATTTTTAATGCTTAACAAGATAAAATTTTAGGGTTTCCATTTGAAAAAATTGATTTTTGGCAGTTCTCTCAACTTTATTTTTATTCTTATTTTTTAAGCACCCTGTATTAAAATTTATCAAAACATAATGAAAATCTAATAAAATAGATCCTTTTCAACAAGGAATCAAGGTTCAATCAAAGAATAAAGGCTTGCTTATAGGAAAAATTGACAATTATTTTAGGGTCTGCAAACGTAATTTTTTACATAAAAACTTAAATATGTCAAAAACGGTTAGACTTAGATATAGGACATCGTACATGAAATGTATTTAGAATTTTCCTTAGAATCCAAAAATACATTAATATACGGGGTGTTCTATTTAAAATAACCGAGTTGGTATCAACTTCCGGTATGACCGGAAATGCCGCCATCTTGAAAATATTTTACCTGGAGTGCGTTCAAAGACGGCAATGCCAATGCCAAAACCTACTATTCCCCTTCTACCGGCGATGCCAAATCTGGTGTGAATTTGTTGGAACGCCAAATACCGTTTCTCAATATGCAATCCAAACCAGGTGACGTTCAATATGGCGTGGCGACCATACATGGACCAAAAAATATCTAGTTTCTGCCCGACTTAATAGTTAACGTACTTAGTTAACAAATATTTTATTGAATAATCAAAATCGAAGCTGCAAACAAACAAAATAATTGAAATATGCATGAAAACCCATATTCAAAACTAACTTGCCTGGCGGCCACGCCATATTGAATTTGGTCTCATCCAATCAAAATTCGTATAACCATTTCTAGACTCAGTTGAAAGAGCCTCCAAAAGTTACTTTACCGCGGCCGATTTGGAACGTGTAAAGCCAACCGTTTTTGGCACGCTGGAGCCGAACTTGAACGCAATATGCCATTTTTGGCTCGGCTTTAGCCGTTTTTGAACGCAGCCCAGGATGTCCCCCATCGACATTGCTATGTTGCCAAATTTTCAAATTTTTACCTTTCACAGTTTTCCCATAAGCAATCGATGTCATTCCCGGAGGACCACCCTGTATAATATAGTATACATACATTGATACTTTAGTACCTATTTGACCTTTCCTGAAGAGTTTTTCAAGGAAGATGATTAGGCAATCCAATCCATCTGTCAAAATAAAAATTCAATATGGCGTGGCGGCCAAGCAAGTTTATTTTAAATATATTATGTGTTTATGCGTATTTTAATTATTTTGCTTGCAGCTTTGATTTTGATTATTTAAATAGTCGCGTCAAATTTTTAAAAGTGAGTAGTCGCGTCGGTCTCACAGACCGTACAACTTAATTAACCCCCAAATAAATAGCGGAGTGTACTTTTCAAAAAATACATGTAGGGATGTTTTAACAAACACAATAAATGATTGAGAAAAAAAAATGGAGTACATCTGGCCAATTTGTCCAAGTATACGACAAAATCTTTGAAAATGGTGCTTTTTTTCATTACTGCAGGTTATTTAGTCACATTCAGAAAATAAACACAGGATACAATACGAAGAGTAAAATATAACTCTTTTTCAATAAAAGCAAGTTAAACAAACATGTTCGAAGTAAGTGGAGAGTATTTTCCGGGTATTCTTTACAAACTCCAATAATATGCTCTAAGCACAAATACACTGTAGGTTGAAATATTTTCGGGAAAACAACCACTTCCAACACTCCCATTAGCATTGCCGTTCCGTCATGACCCGTTGAGAAGATAGATAGAGGGTGATGTGGCTCCTACCTTTATTTCCAGAATACCGCGAAATTAAGTGTATGGTCGGTCTCACAGACCGGGCGCGACTAACGGAAGGTTAATAAAATATTTGATGACTAGGTAGGTAAACTCTTCAACACAATTTTATCTCAGGAACTATAAGTCCAAATGAGTTGAAATTTTCAAGCATTGAAGTCCTCTACTGGAATAGAAATTGCTGGAAATTTCAGCTTTTTATCTATAATAGAAAAAAAGTTATGAACTTTCAAATTTTTCCAAAATCTAAATCACAAGGTAGCTACCTTCTTCAATTTTTTTTTGTTGAGATTTTATGTCCTAATGGTCATTTGAAATTCCCCGAACTTCATATTATACTAAATTATTCCCAGATTTGAAGCCGACATCTCTGAAAAAAGGCACATTGAAGAATTAATAAATCACCTCAAATTGCTTAACACGATTTTATCTCAAGTACTATAAGTGAAAATGAGCTGAAATTTTCAGGGATTGTCGAGGGGATTGTAGTCCTTTTATTGAGATAAGATTCAGTAGAAATTTCAGCTTTCTATCTATAATAGAAAAAAAGTTATGACCTTTCAAAATTTTCCAAAATCTGAATATTAAGGTAGCTACCCTCTTACTAAAACGATGAAATTTCAATTTTTTTTTGTTGAGATTTTATGTCCTAATGGTCATTTGAAATTCCCCGAACTTCATATACTAAATTATTCCCAGATTTGAAGCCGACATCTCTGAAAAAAGGCACATTGAAAAATTGATAAATCACCTCAAATTGCTTAACATGATTTTATCTCAGGTACTATAAGTGCAAATGAGCTGAAATTTTCAGGGATTGTAGTCCTTTTATTGAGATAAGATTCAGTAGAAATTTCAGCTTTCTATCTATAATAGAAAAAAACTTATGACCTTTCAAAGTTTTCTAAAATCTAAATCATAAGGTAGCTACTTTCTTACTAAAACGATGAAATTTCAATTTTTTTTTTTTGAGATTTTATGTCCTAATGGTCATTTGATATCCCCCAAACTTCATACACCAAGTTATTCCCAAATTTGAAGCCGAAATCCATGAAAAAAGGCACTCAGAAAAATTCAAAAATTGATAAATCACCCCAATTTGCTTAACACGATTTTATTTCAAGAACCACAAGTCCAAATGATTTTAAATTTTCAAGGACTGAAGTCCCCTACTGGAATAAGAATCGCTGAAAATTTCAGCTCTCTATCTATAATAGAAAAAAAGTTATGACCTTTCAAAGTTTTCCAAAATCTAAATCATAAGGTATCTACTTCAGGTTCGATAATTTCAATTTTGACGCTTTTCAGGTGCAAAGCTGTTGAACATAAATCAAAATCTTGATTGATAGGTTTGTCTATATTCGGCTCGTTATGTCGGGTTCCCTGTGGTACCTTATTCAGGGTGGTTTTCTTAGGCATAACTTGAAATGGCTATTATGATGATTACAAAACGTTACGGTTATTTGAAGGTAAATGAAATCCTGGTTTGCTCTCGACCCTGTCATTGCTTTAAGTCGAATATCGCAATAATCCCAATACACCAATGACAAATTAACAAAAAAAAATCCAAAAATTATTCGGCCAACAAACTGTTATGAGTGTCATTTACTACCTGTTTAGTTAGGTACCTATATTGTACTAGTTAGAAATATTGTCATTGTCAGAGATATATCACTTTTTAAAATAAAATGTCAATTACGCTCTCCATTGAAATTGGATTTATATATATACAACAGTTGGCGACGAGGATCACGAAGAATCTACAATGCCTCGCAATAGAAGAACGTTGGATATTCCAACAATACCTTGCACGGGGCCACATCAACAGAACTCCATAAGCAATGCCTTCAATATCGAATCATTCGATAATAGTAAAATACCATGGACCCGATGGATTGAAAGATTTGAGGGGGCTTTAGATATTTTCAATGTTTCTGAAGATAAAAAGGTACGATATTTATTACATTATGGGGCCTGAGTCATATGATGTTATTTGCGATAAATTAACCCCAAAAAGTCCTAATACTGAACAATACGAGGTTATTATCAAATTGCTACAAGAGTTTTATGATCCGGCACCATTAGAAATTGCTGAAATTTTCCGGTTTCATAGGCGAAAACAAGAAGAAGGTGAAAACGTTCAAGATTTTTTGAAGTCATTACAAAAACTATCCATTCATTGTAATTTTGGAAATTATTTAACAACAGCAATTCGGAATCAATTTGTTTTCGGCCTATTTAGTGTTCAAATACAAAATCGCCTTTTGGAAACACGAAATCTTACACTGGATCGAGCTGTGGAGGTAGCAGTGGCAATGGAATTGTCTGCAAGAAACACTGCCGAGTTTCGTTCAGGAAAGGAAGGAAATCTTTTAGCTTTTTCATCACAATCAAAAGAAAACAAAAATATTTTACA